TATTCTATTCTATTCTATTCTATTCTATTCTATTCTATTCTATTCTATTCTATTCTAATTCTTATTCTATTCTCTTAGCAATTCAAGCATAAAAGCAAAATTAAAGAAGTACTCAGTTAATCCTACTTATTTATCTATAACCTTTCCCCCACAACTCACTAGTCCTTATATAAGAAGGATATTTTATATGTCTATTTTATGGCTTTTGAAATAGAGAAGGCAATGGGATTCATTTTAAAACTCACCTAAAATAAAACAGATCTTATTTTTTAAAAAAAGAAGTGGTCATATAATTCAAGAAACTTATATTCATTAGTTGGTAGTTTGAGTGATAGTCATTTATGTCATGATTATGTCAAGAGGAAATAATCTGCATCTATCCATTAGATAATTGATCTTACAAATTATTTATTATACAGTTATGTCTATCTGCTGAAGCTAGGACTTATCAGTTTTTAAACCTTATGCAAGTGAATTTTGATGATGGTCACATTTACCATGCTTGCTTTGCTACATCAAACTGATATGCCCTGGTCAACTCATCAAGATGGGCCTGAAGCATAGGTTGCATTTCTTCTCTAGGAGAGGGAGTTAAAGTTGCAGTGGACTGTTGTCCAAAAGAGATTGCAGGGGAAGAAGCCACTCCTCGGACAGGGGGTGTAGGAACTCTGTCATCTTCTTCAAGTTCATCCTCCATTCCCTGATGCAAATATGTCTGGACAGGTAAAGGTGGACACCAAACATCACTGTTGTACCTACAAAATAAATTATTTTGGTTCACGGTTGAGTCTTAAAGTTTTAACAATTATGTAATAGAGATGGTAGATATCCATCTTTGTTGTTAAGGGCACTCTGATTTAAAACTCTGCTCAACCATGAAATTCTAAATGTTCAGACTACTGTTATGAGGTTGGAAGTGTCACACAGGGGGAATAAATGTTTATTGCATTGAATTCCTGCAGGGAAAAGGTAAGATATAAACCTAATAAAAAAAATAAGCTAAAGGGTATTTAGTAAGCGAAGTATTAACATACAGTTGCAGAATTAGAATAAACATGTCACTTGTTTATTTCAGTAAATCTAAGATTTTCTTTCCTCCCTTTTCAAAAATATTATTCTGACTTTTGATATTTCTGATAGTGTTCTAATCAATAATAAAAACCACTTGCTAGTGTCTTTAAAATATCCTTTCTTTGGCTGACATGAGCAGCAATGTCAAGCAAACAAATAATTGTGCAAACTATGGGACAAATGCAGATGTGTGTTTTGCTAGTATTATTTATAACTGGACAAACAATTAATGTTAAATATTAAGGAGGGCGTATGAGTGTGTGTAAGGTGCCAAGGTCGTGTGGTGAGGGTGGTGCAGGGTTGCATGACAGTTGGGGAGGGTGCATGATGATGTACAAGGATTTGAGGAAGATACAGGGAGGATACACAAGGATGAATGGAGGTACACAAGAGTATGAGGGAAACGTGGCAAAGCCTAGAAAAGTGTATAAAGGTGTGTAAGTATATATGGGGATATGAGGGAATTGCAGCTAGGCTCATGGAGGATATGTGGTAGTACAAGGAAGATGTGTTGAGGCTTGAAGAATGTATGTGCTTGGCATCGTTTGAACGCAGACTGGGACTGGGGAAGGGTGCATAGATGGGGGAAACTTACCCTAGTGGCTTGTAACTTTCCCTGCTAGCTTTATTGATTTTCTTGGAAAGCTGGCAGGGAAGATAGCAAAGGACGATCACATGATTGTAAGGCAGTGCAACTGATCAGGTGGAATCTGGTTGCAAGTGCCCATATTGCAATTATGTGATTGTAAGTTGCTGGCATAGTCAAAATGCTGAGGACTGCTCATATCTATTATTTATTCAGCATTGTTGTAACTTTGAATTGTTACATGAGGTCCATGCTATTGATGTGAATTGTTAAGCACTATATTTCTTTGAGAAATAGAGTCTGGAGAATAGAGAAACCATACTGGAAGTGAAATGACATTGCCAATAGCAATTAAGGATGTAAAAGGAATATCCTTATCTATGGAAGATTGTTTGAAATTGAATCTTCTCTTCAACTTTCAGTAGAGAGATGAAAATGTGCATTTGTAATGGAAGGGTATGGAGCAAGGATTACTGAGCCAGATGGATTAAAACACTATTGTAATAAATGTATATGAACAGTCTTACATTTACAATCTCTCTTCAAACTTCATAATAAATGGCTGATCCTGACCCTAACCCTAACCTAGCCTTAGCTGTCAGATAATGGATTCAAAATTGTTCATAGGAAAATACATTACCCTTGTTCTTGTGGATCCACCCCATAGTGTTCTAACTCTGTTCCTGGAAGTGGATGTATTGGAGGAGGTGGAAGAGGAACACTGGCCCAGGTAGACCCATTATTTTTCTGAGTCTTGGGAGTATTTTTGTTTTTCTTTTTCTTTCCTCCTTTCCCACCTGAAGTCAAGAAACATTACAAAAATATGAAGAAGCTAAGTTAATTATTTACATATTTCTATTTCCAGAAAGAGTTTTGATTCCAGATGGCACGTGTAAAAAAAAGAGTGAAAGAATGAAAAGAACTTTTTTCTATTTTTATTTTACTAATATCAGCAGCAAGATGTTATAGCTGACATAAGTTAGAAATAATAATAGAGTGGTGTGGCGTGAAAAGAATCCGTATAATTGTCAAGCATTACTTCTTTTCATTTAACAAACTCCATATAACTTAATCACAACGAACCATACATTGAATAAAAATTAAAATGTTCTTGTGTCAAAACTATATTTATAGATTTATTTTGTCTGTGTTAGGAAACATAAAACACCAGAACAAAGTGCTTCAAAACAGAGTATTTATAATACTGTTTCTCAGGGTGATTTCTCAGTTATTAAGAACACAACCCCAAATATGATTCATTTGGCTTATTTCCAGACACAAAGCCAAGTGTAGGTGTTAAACTCTAAAAAAAGTCTGTAAGCAGTTTATTGCTGGAATAGGTTTCCAGCATTCAGCTAAAAATGCAAAAATTATAAGTGTAATATTTTAAATATATTCACTCCAATAGCCTCCCTCCCAATTATATATAAAAAAAGTTTATACATGGAGAAATGAACAATGAGGAATGCAAAAACATAGATGAGAATGTATACACATATCCCTGACGAGACTACATCACATTTTATGGAAGTCCAGACTTAATAATAGCTAATGATCATACTATATTTGGTCATAATGTGCTATATGCCAAAGAAGAATGAAACATCAAACAGAATTAGGTAATAACACAGAAGAATTCTGAATAGGTAAAGGTAATATAGGGCTTACAGAAAATACACATATACGTAAGTAAAGAATAATAAAAATGGAACGTGACAAGACAATAGAAATGTTAAAAATAACTTCACACATTTTTAAATTTTGATTTTTTTAAAAAATATGGCATGCATAATGTAATTTTGTTATACTGCAGTCGATTTTATACTGTCATTTATGTACTGTGACCCATCTTGATGGCATATATAATTACACTACAATAACCAGCATGCAACCTTTGCTTTATGTTTGGATTTAATTCTAAATATTTTAAATGCTTATCTTTCAATTCCAATATAATTCTACTACTGAATTTATTGATATGCTGGACCTCAGAGATATCGTGATTTTACATGAGAATATGTGTCCAATAATAGCCTATACAATAAAAAACCCTCATAAATAACCTTAGAGAAAACCAAAGCTATAAAGTGATTACTTTATAGAAAGAAAGTACTGCTCCAGAAAGGTGAGAATTTTATGAAATAAAATTTTCATTCATGCTCAAAAATATAGGAAATCAATTCATACATAATTTATATGTTCTCTAAATTAGCTTCTTAAATTGAGCAAATAAAGTATATTTTTTCAAAAAAAGCAAAATAACAATTCATATATGATTATATATGAATCATTCAGGTACATTTACACAAAAGTTATACCCAGTAATTGATCATGTATCTTGAGTCTTTCAGGTTTATAAAATTGAATTAAAAATAAAAACTTCCTTCTTATGTAAATTGTATTGAAACCAACCTGAGAGGCTGTCACTCCTTTCTGAACTGTTGTGAGAGCTGGTGGTGCTGAAATCTTGTGACTGGTTGTGTGGCATTCTATTAGACAATCCCTCAGCCAAACGGTAGTCAGGGATGTAAAGCAAAGCTAAGGGTTGAAGGGCAAAGGTCATAGTACCTTCTTGTGATTAGTTTATAGCACATGCACAACATGCAGTTAACTCTTTATCAGCTTATAAGTAAAATGTATTAAATATTTAACCTAGTGTATCATATGGGTAGCAGGATGCAGTGCATATCTATGAAACTGGAAAAAGATGAAAGAAACTGAAATAGCATAATCCAATTAGTTGAATTTGTAAAGTTTTAGAATACATGCAAGATACATTAAAGGAAGTGAGAACAGTAGTGGGTAACCCATAATTTTATTTCCATGCAGAGAACATATTCATAAAAGAAAATTAAGAACAAGAATCACCATTGTTGCCTTTTCCCTGATCTGGAAGAGAGTAACCAAATCCCATTAAGTCACTTTTCTGCTGAATTGAACTTTTCCACTGAGGATCTGGTAAATCAACCGCCAATTCATGGATGCTGTTGGAATGCAGTATTTGCGTTGTGGCATATGGAGTAGCTTGTGTTATTTGGCTGGAACTATTGTAACTAGTTTTGGTACTGAAGTCAATGCTGCTATAAATGGCTCCATCAGAAAGCATTGTGGCAGTTTTATCCCCTGGCATTGGAGGTAGCACATCTGGGGTGCAAACAGAGAAATGGAAGGAAAAAAATAGTATTATAAAGAAAAAATACTAAGCTATCAAGGTTTTAATAGGAAAAATAAATATATCATGCTGCACATTTGCTTTTTGGCTGAGACAGTTTCCATGAGCCAGTGAAGGGAAAATGATGTATTGCCTATGCCTTTCTATCAGCATCTTTGACAAACTTTGCACTTGTCCTTCACATCTCACTGCTTAAAAGCCATATTTCCTCCATATCTTCAACTGTGAAAATGAAGCTTGGAATATTTCGGTCCCAAACACTGTTTCCAATTGTTCATTTTATGTCAGTGCCAATGACACTGTCGTGCTCAAGGGATATGATAAAAATCCCAGAAAGAACAATCTCCTTGTATTTTCCTCCCTGCCAATTCCATCATGCGAGCACTGCACAAACTACTGAATGAACACAGAGATACCTTCAGTTATTAGTAAAGAGTCTTGGTCAATGCTACTTTAATGTATTTATTTTTAAAATCACCTGGATAATAAATTATTTTGGATTTTTTTTTTCATTTTCAAGAACTTCATCTAATTGAGACTTGAAATATGCTAAAACATAGAATTACTTTAAATTTAATATTAGATGTTGAAATGATTTGATTTTTCATCAAAATTATTTTAACCCACTAAGTGAAATACAAGGGAATGACCTTCATTACTATAAAATTAAATGGGTAAATATTATTTATCCAAAATAATTACCAAAATATTAATGATTAGCCTAATGTAGTATGAAGTCTTTTTATTTTTCATTTTATTTCAATAAAAGGCATAAACCAAATTCTCACATGGAAAAGTGAATAGCGTAGTTAAGATCAATTTGTGAAAATTATATGCTTTGGAAAAGAAATGAAATACCCTGATATACCTGTGTGACCTGTGTGTACTTTGACAACAGCATTTGTGAAAAACACGAATTATTTTCATAGGGCAGCCAAAAGACAAATATAGAAATAATGAATCAGAAATCAATTGTCCAAATTAAAATGATCATATTCATTTGTAGCATTTTTATATCACAGACTCTGTAGACTCAATGCAGTTTTAAAGCTAATTCTTTATTTTTCTAGAGAAGGCCCACCTTGAGCGCTTTCCATTTCTGAGAAACACTCACAGACAAATAGATGAATTGTATAGGTTCAAAGAAAAGAATGATCAAGGAACTATAAAGAGTGACTGAATGAACTGGGAATGCTTAACTCAGAAGAATGAGGAAGGATATGTTTGCACTTTTCAAGGACCAGAACAGATGTTACCCAGAAGAATATAAAGAGCTACTCCCACTTGTTCCAGACTAGTAGGAGGGACTTAATTGATTTAAGATTTAAAAAGGCAGAAATGTTAGAAAGAAAGAAATTAAAAATAGAAGCATTTTAATAGTGGACTCTATTACTTATACTGTAATTTAATTCAGATTCTTGCACTGAATTGCTTACAGTAGAATGCTAAAGCCAGGTTGCTGGTTGGGATACTGCATTGTTAGTTTTATACCTATTTGAAAGTGATTGCACTGACTTTCAATGAACTAATTATTTCTGTTTATGCATTTATTTATGATATGTAAGGTCATAATCTAACTGGAACTCATAGGCTTGGAACCCACGTTATCTGGTATCTGTTACTATATATTTAGTCAATAAATGTGATTATTGCAAGAGTTTTGATTTATATGGTTAGAACTACAGATTTCAGATGGCTAAATTGAGTGACTGTGGATTTTCAGGAATTTTGGGTGTCAAATGTTCTATGTTTGGTTCTGAATGGGATTACCACTTCAAACAGAGCTGTTGTGTGATTTTTGGGTTATACTAGATTCATAGCTTCTGCCTTAAACTTGGACCACCTTACTCATGGTCATCTCTTCTTTATTTTTTAAATGTGTATACCACGTGATTCCCTGTGGCCGAGATTACTGCAATGTGCTTTACATGGGGCTATCTTTTGTGACAATTCATTACTATGCAAGCTGCCCTGGGTGGCAGTAGGTTTGTTTTAGATGGAATTCAAGAGGCTGGCTATCAGCTTTAAAGCTCTTCATTGCACAGGGGGAACACTTGTCTCTGATTATCTTTGCCAATCTAATAAGATCTGACAAAGTAGGTGTTTTTCAGATTCTGTCATTTCAGCAATATCATTTGGTGGAACACAAGAGACCTACCTTCTCTATCACAATCAGGCCCCCAATGATCTGAAAGGCCTGCCTTTTGTAAAAGCCTTGATGAGCCATTTTATTTCTCCCATTCCCCCCCCTCCACACACCACAAGCTTTTCATATTTTTCAAATACATCCAGATAGTTTGCTTGTAACTGATGAATTGTGTAATGGATTTTGTATCTTGTTATACTTTATTTTTACAATATTATGCTATTTTAATTGTATGTCATCTTGAGTTTATGTCAGGACAGCAATTATAAAAATTGACTAAATGTAATAAATATTTTATTTCGTAAACCTCTTGATAATATAAAAAGCTTTTGTATAAATATATAGTGTAACAATATATCATTACCGGTACTTTTTATTTTCATTGTTTATATTTCCATCATCATTTTTTTAACAAACATGTTGTATAAAGAAACAATGTATCCTGCCAAACAATGTATCATGCATGTTAAGAAATTTGAAAATGTACCTCCACGACCAAAATTCCCAAGATCACTTGGTCCATTGGTACTGTTGTTAACAGGAAGGCTGGTAGCAGGCCAAGAATCCGCAAGCCAAGGATAACTTGGATCACTTGCATTTAACAAGCCTGGCCGACTAAAGAAATCCAATAATAAAGTATTAATGTGAGAAATCTATGTAACTGTAATAAAGACAATTTTATTGGAAAGTTTGTGGAACAAATGGAAAGGAGCATTCCATTTACAGTTGTAACAATTCTATGAAATTTGTAAAGTAATTTTATATCAAAATAGTGAAGTCTGTGCATTTAAAAATCTTCAGAGTAAACTTGGATTCTGTATAAACCTGACACACTGCCTGTAGAAACTGGTAGCATACCCTCACACAGTTTGCTGTAATCCCATTGAATTCTATTGTCTGGGCTGAAAAGAAGTAATAGGCTGTACCACTGAAAGAACCTAAGCCAGGAAGAAATGATAAATTGCTACCTCAAGGGAATAATCATTCAAAGTGACTGTTCTATATCAACCATTTCCAGCCCTCTGGTGATTATTTTTTCACTTCCTGCATACCAAATATATGTCTGTTATCTAGAAGATGCTAGAGTGCTCTTGCATGAATTTAAAAGCAAGCAAGTTTGAATGGGATTAATGGAAAATTCAAAGTATCTGTTCTACCTATGACAGCAGACTTCCATATGTTTATTTTCAATTTTTATAAACTACTGAAGGCAGAATATGTATTGACTGAAACAAATGGATGAGATATACATTAGGCTTAATCTTGTTCCTAAACTTTGGTAAGATAAATAAAGATGGAGAGAAAATATGAAGCAAATAAATTGAAAGTATACATATTAACATTTTTAAAAGCAAAAAATATCCTTGGGAATCAGAATTTCGCATTAGCAGGTATTTCATCAGATGTTTGTACATAACATTTATGACAGTATATTTTTTTCTTGCACCCCCAATATTCCCGTCTGTATAATTTCAGAGAGAAGTATCGGTTTCTATAGAAACGGCAATAAGATGATCACACAGCTTGCTTCTCATTTATGTACTCTCATTAGACTTAATCCCTTTTTTGCTAAAATATTGATTCAATGGGAGATGGGAAGTTATTACCAGATCCTAATTACAGTCTCCATATTGGCACTGAGAAAATATATGAGGATATATGGGTCTGTTATCAACTTTTATCAATTTCAATTGAGTGACCACAGTTGTAGAATCTAGTCCTATCAATTTACAACTTATTCATCTTCTGTGAATCATTTATTTTGTGAACGATTGTGTGTAATTGTTCATTCACTGCAATTTAATGGAAGCCAATAAGGTCTCTTAAACAACAGCAACTTCATTTACTAATGCCTAATTAATGCAATAACTATCCTGAAAACAAATGAATACATTCCTTCTGATATTTTCTACTAATTTCTTCTTGGGCATCTGGGAGTTATCGAACATCTGGGCTTGATTTCCTTAAGTGTACAACAGATCATTAAAAGCCAGTTTAATCCTTTTAATTCCTGCTAGAATTGCTACTTTTACATCTGATCATCTCTCTGTGTCTCTAGCTCCTAAAAAAGGAAGAAAATTAAATGAGCTAAACATATGAGAAATCCAAAGAAGTATGATCTGTAAATATAGAAGTAAATATGGAAGTATACCTTCCATTGCTCATAAGTCCTCCATCTCCTCTTTGAAAAGTGACTGGTTTGTGTTTCAAATAGAAAAAAAAAAGAAAAGAAAAAGTGCATTAGTATTTTATATTGAGTGAAATTATAATATGTAGGATAATTCATAAAGTCAAAAGGCCTATGCTCCACCTACCTGAGGATTGCATTTTAAGTGAGATAACTAAGTATAAGGATAGTGAAAGCCAAGGTAATTCCTGTTTCCTCAGCATGATGTTAATTTAAGTTAGTCTTTTTCAGTGACATGCTCACAGGATAATTTATTTCTGATTTCCTGTGATTATGGAATTTATAGCAATTTTTGAAAATCAACTGACTAAAATCGAAAGACTTATAATACACTGAGCCCAAAGCCACTGAAATTGTGCAGGTCTGATAAAAGCATTACCTTTATTTCTCTAGCTAAATTAAAATGAAATTGCACACTCTTAACATGTTAGTGCTTAATGAAACAATAATGATGTTATGGTTATAATAATGTTATCACAAAATAGAAGTGAAAAACATGTTAAAACTGAAAACTGAAAAAATGGTAAAGTTTCACAGCAAACATTCTGTATTGTCTTTATTACACAATTTGATAATTGTGTAAATTGATACTATACTGTAGTTATTAAGACTATATCATAAACCCATTATAAATCAGTTCAGTAAATAGTATTCAGATCCAATCATAATGTTCTTAGAAAAGTAGTTGTTAGCCATTAAAATCCAATATTTAGGATATTTTCTCAAATGACAATCCAGGATACTTTGTATTTGGTTCTGAAAATCATACATGTCTGGGAGAAGGCAGCCAAAATTTCTGTGCCAGTTGCTAAAGAGTAAATGTGACTTTAGACGCTTTGAAGCCAATAGAAAGATCAGCGGCTAAAAAGAGGCAAAAGGGTTGGCTCAGTTTTCCATCCTTCTGAGGTCGGTAAAATGAGGATCCAGATTGTTGGGGGCAAAATGCTGACTCTAACCGATTAGAGAGGGCTGTAAAGCATTCTGAAGCAGTATGTAAGTTTAAATGATATTGTAATTGCTATTTCTGTTGTATCCTTTAATACAGTATTATGCAATAGGTTAGGTAGATTTAATTAAATTCAATATCTATTAAATATTTCATATTAGTGCAGCACCATTTACATTCAGATATAGTAAGCTGCTACCTTGTATAAGGTGGAATTCACAGATATACGTTGAACTCTGTGTATGATTTTTTTATTTATTTATTTAATTAATTAATTTATATTACCACCTATTTGCCCATGACAACTCGAGGTGGTTTACAAAATGTAAAACCATATTTAAAACAAAAAATAAAAATAAAAGACAATAAAAATTAATGAAAAGAATCAAATAAATTAATAAAGTACAATAGAACAAAATCTGGAAAAAAATCAGCCCCAACTCCCACCTCCCACCCCGACAACAGATACATTAGCCATTTGATGGGCTCCATCCCGCTCTGGGTTCCCTAGGCCTGCTGGCAAAACCAGGTCTTCAGTGCCTTCCAAAAGAATGCTAGAATGGAGGCTGTTCTAATCTCTGGGGGAATGATGTTCCAGAGAGATGGAACCACCAAAGAGAAGGCCCTTCTTCTGGGTCCCATCAGGTGTATCTCCCTCAGGGATGGGACCTGCAACATTCCCTGCCTCCCCACTCCCTACTCTAATGGGTAAGGTAGATGTGACTGGCAAGAGACGTTCCCACAGATAACCCGGTCCCAAGCCATGAAGAGCTTTAAAGGTGACAATCAGCACCTTGAATTGCACCTGGAAGCAAATCAGCAACCAATGCAGCTCCTGCAGGAGAGGTGACACATGTGCACACTGGGGTCTGCACAAAACCATGCAGGCCGCTGCATTTTGCACCAACTGGAGTTTCTGGATGCTGCTCTAGGGCTGCCCCACGTAGAGCGTGTTGCAATAATCAAGACGGCAAGTGACTAGGGCATGAGTGACTGTGAGTAGAGACCGCTGGTCCAGAAAAGGACATAATTGGTGCACAACGCACAGTTGCACAAAGGCCCTCATGGTCATGACCGCCACCTGCTCTTTGAGCAGGAGTCATGAGTCCAGGAAAACCCCTAGATTACTCACAGGGTTTGTTTGGGTAGCGCCACCCCATCCAAGACCAAAGGTGGCAATTCTCTGAGCCAACAAACCCCAAATCCAGAGCCACTTGGTCTTGCAAGGGTTTAGTTTCAACCCATTGCTCCCCATCCAGCCCCTAACAGCCTCAAGGCACTGCAAGAGGGAGGACACAGCAACACTTAACTCACTAAGAGCTGAGACATACAGCTGTGTATCATCAACATATTGGTGATACCTCAGTCCATGGTGATGGATGATCTCACCCAGTGGCTTCATATAAATGTTGAACAGGAGCGGAGAGAGTACTGAGCCCTGCGGAACCCCATAAAGCAACGGACGAGGGCTGGATCTCTCCCCTTCTAAGTGACTGAGAGTGGCCGCAGAGGAAGGAATTGAACCAAGACAGCACAAGACCTTCTACTCTCATCCCCCGAAGCCACCCCAGGAGAATCCCATGGTCAGTGGTATCAAAAGCCATCAAGAGGTGAAGTAAAGCAAGGATGGATGCACTACCCTCCATCCTGCTCCCGCCAGAGATCATCCAAAAGGGCAACCAATGCCGTTTCTGTCCCAAATCCAGGTCTGAATCCTGACCGGTAGGGGTCGAGATAATCTGTTTCATCCAAAAACCTCTGGAGCTGCTGTGTGAGCACCTTCTCAACAACCTTCCCCCAAAAGGGAAGAGACAGGTCAGAAATTATCCAACCGGGTAGAGTTCAGCGATGGTTTCTTAAGAAGAGGGTGGACCACAGCCTCCTTAAAGTGCTGGGGTACCATCTCCTCCTGTAGAGAAGCATCAATTACTGCCAGAGTTCACCTGTCTGTCACCTCCTGGGAAGCTATCACAAGCCAGGAGGGACATGGGTCTAAAACACAGGTGCTTGCACCCTAGGATTCTGTCCACTTCCTTAGGAGCAGCAGGGTCAAACCATTCCCAGATAACAGGGCAAAAACCTGCCTCAGGAACTTCTACTGGACCAGCAACCATGCCAGCATCTAACTGGGAACAAAGTGGACCAATTTTGTCTTCCAGAAAATCTGCAAATCTCCTCCTTCCCTAGGAGGAGACGGCTCACCTTAAAGAGGTGATTATCTGCAGATGCAATCAGTATGGAGAAATATTTACACTTTGCTGCACGAATCACCACAAGGTAGGCCTTAGTAGCAGCTCTTACCCATGTTCGATCGAGTTCATCTCCTGTCTTCCACCAGCGGCGCTCTAGACGTCTCCTCATACGTTTCATCCCTCTCAGTTCCTCTGTATACCATGGGGCACAGAGAGGTCTATGGGTGAGGAGAGGTTGCAAGGGTGCAATCCTATCCAGAGCCTCAGTTACCTTCCTTTTTACCATATACTTTCCCATTAATATATAAATATTTCTCAGAAACACTGATAAATAAAATAAATAAAAAATAACATAAGCTATTCTTTTTTCCCTGCAATACCACTCAGACCACAATCTCAGTCAATGATTCAAGACTGAAATACTATCTCTGTAGATATTAGAATATAAAACAAGAATATCTACATCTTCTGGGGAAACATTACGTTCATGTTATCAGTTCTACAAGTGGCTTACCAATAAGAACAAAGCAGGTCCCTTTAAGATATCTCACAGAATAAATTTAAGAATTGATAATTAATTGCCTATCACCACTGAATAAACAATAATTGATGCTTAAACATCAATATAGATATATTTCATGTTAAATGGTATGCTGTACCTATCGGGAAATGAATTAATACATATTCAGCTTAAATATTGCTTCTAATTATATTGTCAGTCATAATCATTAGATACATTAGATTGAATGGATGCTTTACAATATGCAAGAAAAATAGCCATTATGGACCTTTTTTCTGCTTTTTAATAACAATCAAAATTGTACAAAAAGACAAGAATATGAGAACTGAAACACTGAACTGACTGAAATAAAATAGTTCTCAATAGAGGCACAGTAATATAGTCAGAAAGTTGAAGGTTTGGAAAACACTGGGATTGAAATGATTTTTTTTAAAAGTATCAGAGATCATTATGAAGTAGAATATGAAATAGCTACAATTGGACTTATATGCTAAGTAAAGTCGAAAAATTTTTCTAAATGTATGATGGATCTTGACAGACTAGAACACTGGGTGGTATCTAACAAAATGAAATTCAATGTAAAGTCAAGTCCTACATTTAGGCAAGAAAAACAAAAAGTACACATATAGACTGGGTAAAACCAGGCTCAATAGCAGTAACTGTGAGAGGGATCTTGGAGTCTTAGTGGATAACCAGCTAAATATGAGCCAGAAGTGTGCAGCCCATGCCAAAAAGGCTAATGTAATCCTAAATTGCATTAACACATGGATACAATCGAGATCAAGTGAGGTACTAATACAACTCTATAAAGCCTTAGTAAGACCACACCTAGAGTATTGCGTCCAGTTTTGGTCACCACATTATAAAAAAGATGTTGACTCTAGAAAAGGTACAGAGAAGAGCAACCAGGATGATTAGGGGACTGGAGACTAAAACATATGAAGAACGGTTACAGGAATTGGGCCTAGCTAGTCTAGTGAAGAGAAGGACCAGGGGAGACATGCTAGCAATCTTCCAATATTTGAGGGGCTGCCACAGAGAGGAAGAGGTCAAGTTATTTTCTAAAGTGCCTGTAGACCAGACAAGGAATAATGGATAGAAACTGAACAAGGAGAGATTTAACCTGGAAATAAGGAGAAACTTTCTGACAGTGAGAACAATCAACCATTGCTCTCGGAAGTTATGGGAGCATCATCACTTGAGACTTTCAAGAAGAGACTGGACTGCCATTTGTCAGAAATGGTGTAGGGTCTCCCCCTTGGACTGGGGATTGGACTAGATGACCTACAAGGTCCCTTCCAACTCTGATTATCTGTTATCTGAATGTTCCTGATGTAAGAAAACTTGCA